GGGACCCTCTGTCAAATGGAACCGGACACATTCACATTTCTTCAACAACAGATGAATCTCCATTTCATCTGGCTTTTAATTTTTGTCTTGACAAATTTTTGGCTGGTCTCCTTCTGAAGCACACAGAACATATTCAAGGAGCTTGTTTTGATTTCAGGATAACTGATTTAGATACAATACTCCTCACGTCATATGGATTAGCCTTGTGCTGTCTTGTATAAGAAACTGAGCTCATAGACAATGAAGAGCTGTATATTACAGTTCTATAAAGCTTCTCAGCAGACACATACACAATAAATATTAAAACGCATCCTGGGGTCTCTGTCAGAGGTACTGTCTAACAGAAAAGTCCTTGCTTGGTCACTTCTGACAAGCACAGAACTGCTGCATGCAAAGCCTGAGAGAGCAAACTCGCTGTCAGGCCTCTCCCAAGCACAAGGCAGAATCACAGCCACCAGGACACAAGTGATGCAATCGCCTGCAGCAGCGACGCCTGCGAGAGCATCCTGCCTGCTGCCAGGGCCAGCGCGGCTCCAGCTCTGCTCCCACAGCCCGACAGCCCTGAGCACACAGCCTGCCCCTTCCAGCACTTACAGGGGAAGATCTGGAGGAAGCCTGAGCTCTCCCTCCACCTTCCTCAGCAAGTGCCACTAGCCCACTTCTGACCCAAAGTGTCAAACAGAGCTGCCAGCCAGGAGATCTGCTGGTCCTGCCTGGGGCTGCGCTGCCATCGGGGGTGTGTGACTTGCACCCTGGTTATTTGCTGTCCCATTTTTCATGTAACTGACCTTTCACTACAGGGGTCTATTTCTCAGGCTCACAATTTAAGAAAACTGGGAACATCTGTGCTACAGAACGGGTAACACCCAGAGCATCCTGCCACGCTGCTTCACCTGCTGAGGCCTCTGCTCACTGAAAGGGAAAGCTACACAACAACCCAGCTGTCAGACACATTTGTTATTTGTTGCAATTGGGTTAAACCAATAAACAAATGATGGAAGTGTGTAATAACAAAGACCTGAAAACTGACTAAGAAATGTACTAAATAGGTTCTAATTCACTGCTTCAGTTATTTCGGTACAAGTCTATATGTAGAAAATGATCTCAATTTTTTTTAATGTAACCCAAAAAAGTGTCCGTGAACAGATTTGCTCTGAATTTGGAATAACTGAGAGAGTTCAATTCCCAACCTTCCATCTACCTGACAATGCCCTGAAACCTCCAGTTATGCAGAACAGACTCAGAAAAGCCAAGCTTGGCTCTAGCATTTCTTGTTTAGATAATCACTAAGCTTCCACTAACACTGAAATCAACTTGTTGTATCTTCTGGAGACCCCTTCTCGCTCCCTCACAGCTATTCCTGGGGTGAGAAGGCTGGCTCTGATCACCCATTGCTGCACACAGGACAAAACGATAACACAATCCAGCCGCCCACTCAAGCGTGACCCCACTAAAAGCGCTCATCTTGTCCCCGGAGAGGCAGCCGGGGCAGGGACCTGCAGCTGCAGAGGCGGCCGAGGGACGGAGTTAGGAAGCGGGCAGGCAGTGCTGTGGGTGACGGTGAGGCCGTGGCACAGTGCAGGCCTCCAGCTCCCGAGCAGGCTGGAGCACTCCGAGTGCAGCCCCCGGAGAGCCCTCCCTCATCCCTCCCTCCCTCCCTCCCTCCCTGCTCCGCCACAGGCCCCACTCAACAATTTTTAGCTGCACGTTCCACTTACCTACTTTTTCCCTCAAACTTCGCGATTTGACCTGCTCTGTTTACCCTGCCGCAGTTCGCCCCGCTCCGCCGAGGCCGGTGCTCCCGCCTGGCCCCTCGGAGGGGCAGCGGCAGCCGGGCCCGCAGGCGCTGGGGGCGGCCCCGGGCCCACGGACCCTCCGCATACCTCCCCGCCGCTGCAGAGCCTCCCGCTCCGCCGCGACGCCTTCCTGCATCCCGCACGTTTACCACAGGCTCTCATCAGAAGAAACAAAGGCGTGGTTACAGCACGGAACGCCACTGCCTCTGTCACCCGGCCCCAGGAGAGCCCCCGGACCAGCCGCCGGCCGGTACCGGGCAGGCACCGCGCAGCCGGGCCCCGGACCGCCCCTCTGCGACACCCGCCAGGGCGAGGGCCCCGCACGCCTCCGTACTTACAGGCTTCGCCGCCGCGCCGCTCCGCGGGGCCGGGCCGGGCGCCGCCTCCTCCCC